TGGTGCAACTAACACTGACGCTGGTGCAACTAACACTGACGCTGGTGCAACTAACACTGACGCTGGTGCAACTAACACTGACGCTGGTGCAACTAACACTGACGCTGGTGCAACTAACACTGACGCTGGTGCAACTAACACTGACGCTGGTGCAACTAACACTGACGCTGGTGCAACTAACAACTGGTGCAACACTGACGCTGGTGCAACTAACACTGACGCTGGTGCAACTAACACTGACGCTGGTGCAACTAACACTGACGCTGGTGCAACTAACACTGACGCTGGTGCAACTAACACTGACGCTGGTGCAACTAACACTGACGCTGGTGCAACTAACACTGACGCTGGTGCAACTAACACTGACGCTGGTGCAACTAACACTGACGCTGGTGCAACTAACACTGACGCTGGTGCAACTAACACTGACGCTGGTGCAACTAACACTGACGCTGGTGCAACTAACACTGACGCTGGTGCAACTAACACACTGGTGCAAACACTGACGCTGGTGCAACTAACACTGACGCTGGTGCAACTAACACTGACGCTGGTGCAACTAACACTGACGCTGGTGCAACTAACACTGACGCTGGTGCAACTAACACTGACGCTGGTGCAACTAACACTGACTGGTGCAAACACTGACGCTGGTGCAACTAACACTGACGCTGGTGCAACTAACACTGACGCTGGTGCAACTAACACTGACGCTGGTGCAACTAACACTGACGCTGGTGCAACTAACACTAACACTGACGCTGGTGCAACTAACACTGACGCTGGTGCAACTAACACTGACGCTGGTGCAACTAACACTGACGCTGGTGCAACTAACACTGACGCTGGTGCAACTAACACTGACGCTGGTGCAACTAACACTGACGCTGGTGCAACTAACACTGACGCTGGTGCAACTAACACTGACGCTGGTGCAACTAACACTGACGCTGGTGCAACTAACACTGACTGGTGCAACTAACACTGACGCTGGTGCAACTAACACTGACGCTGGTGCAACTAACACTGACGCTGGTGCAACTAACACTGACGCTGGTGCAACTAACACTGACGCTGGTGCAACTAACACTGACGCTGGTGCAACTAACACTGACGCTGGTGCAACTAACACTGACGCTGGTGCAACTAACACTGACGCTGGTGCAACTAACACTGACGCTGGTGCAACTAACACTGACGCTGGTGCACTGACGCTGGTGCAACTAACACTGACGCTGGTGCAACTAACACTGACGCTGGTGCAACTAACACTGACGCTGGTGCAACTAACACTGACGCTGGTGCAACTAACACTGACGCTGGTGCAACTAACACTGACGCTGGTAACACTGACGCTGGTGCAACTAACACTGACGCTGGTGCAAACACTGACGCTGGTGCAACTAACACTGACGCTGGTGCAACTAACACTGACGCTGGTGCAACTAACACTGACGCTGGTGCAACTAACACTGACGTTGGTGCAACTAACACTGACGCTGGTGCAACTAACACTGACGCTGGTGCAACTAACACTGACGCTGGTGCAACTAACACTGACGCTGGTGCAACTAACACTGACGCTGGTGCAACTAACACTGACGCTGGTGCAACTAACACTGACGCTGGTGCAACTAACACTGACGCTGGTGCAACTAACACTGACGCTGGTGCAACTAACACTGACGCTGGTGCAACTAACACTGACGCTGGTGCAACTAACACTGACGCTGGTGCAACTAACACTGACGCTGGTGCAACTAACACTGACGCTGGTGCAACTAACACTGACAATAGGCCGTTTAGCGCCTAACTTTCCGAAATATTACGCTGTTGCTTTGTGAATAAACCGTTGAACATACAAGTGAATAACTAATGCTCACATTAACCTACAAAACTTCTATTTTATATATATATATATATATATATATATATATATATATATATATATATATATATATATATTATTAAATATGACCGAAAAAGTAAAATTAATAATTCTAACACGAATTTTCTCTATCTTTCTTACGTTTCTTTTCACTCTTGATGGTAATTCAAAGATCAATTCTCCAAAATTCATTTTTATTTCTAGTCTGACGCGACACTTGAGCGCGTTTCGTAAAACTTATTACATTTTCAAAGACTTTAGTTTACAAACACACAACTGAAATTGAATAGAGCCTTGCACATCTTCGAGTTTATATCTACATTTGGGTGAGGTGGATGAGGTGAAAACGAACTTTCAACAATGGGTATTGAATGGGTATTAAATTCAAACACAAGACAGAAGACGAAACAATGGGTATTGAATGGAAGTAATTGTAGAAAGCCTATTGGTCCATATTTCTTGATGCTTCTATATTGGAGCGGAGTCTTGAATTTGGTAGAATATAGTTGTGCAATAATTGGCTGTTGATTGCTGGTGTTGACTTCTTGATGTGTAGTGCCTCGCAAACGTCTAGCCGCCTGCTATCGCTGTATCTGATATCGCTGATGTTCCTTAATGGAGCCCTGTTGCTTATGCATCGTTAAACGCCTGGAAAGAGATGTTGTTGTCTTGCCTATATACTGGGTTTTTTGAGGCTTAGAGTCCCCAAGAGGGCATTTGAAGGCATAGACGACGTTGGTCTCTTTTAAAGCGTTCTGCTTTGTGTCTGGAGAGTTTCTCATGAGTAGGCTGGCCGTTTTTCTGGTTTTATAGTAAATCGTCAGTTGTATCTTCTGATTTTTGTTTGTAGGGATAACGTTTCTACTGACAATATCTTTCAGGACCCTTTCCTCCGTTTTATGAGCTGTGGAAAAGAAGTTCCTGTAAAATAGTCTAATAGGGGGTATAGGTGTTGTGTTAGTTGTTTCTTCAGAGGTTGCATGGCGTTTCACTTTCCTTCTTATGATGTCTTCCACGAAACCATTGGAGAAGCCGTTATTGATATATATATATATATAACTGAAAACTCACACCCCAGAAGTGACTCGAACCCATACTCCCAGGAACAACGCAACTGGTATGTACAAGACGCCTTAATCCACTTGACCATCACGATCGGACAAAATGAGGTGATAGCCGAGGCTATATGAACCACCCCACCGCCGGCACTCGGATAGTAATCTTGGGCATAGCATTTTACCAATGCTATGCCCAAGATTACTATCCGAGTGCCGGCGGTGGGGTGGTTCATATAGCCTCGGCTATCACCTCATTTTGTCCGGTCGTGATGGTCAAGTGGATTAAGGCGTCTTGTACATACCAGTTGCGTTGCTCCTGGGAGTATGGGTTCGAGTCACTTCTGGGGTGTGAGTTTTCAGTTGCATATTGTCCTGGGGACCATTCAGGCTTGTTCACATTTGTGTTCCTCACGTGTGCCCCAAAGAATGAGGTGATTTGGTAAAATGCTATGCCCAAGATTACTATCCGAGTGCCGGCGGTGGGGTGGTTCATATAGCCTCGGCTATCACCTCATTTTGTCCGATCGTGATGGTCAAGTGGATTAAGGCGTCTTGTACATACCAGTTGCGTTGCTCCTGGGAGTATGGGTTCAAGTCACTTCTGGGGTGTGAGTTTTCAGTTGCATATTGTCCTGGGGACCATTCAGGCTTGTTCGCATATATATATATATATATGTCGTACCTAGTAGCCAGAACGCACTTCTCAGCCTACTATGCAAGGCCCAATTTGCCTAATAAGCCAAGTTTTCATGAATTGTTTTTCGACTACCTAACCTAGCCTAACCTAACTTTTTCTGCTACCTAACCTAACCTAACCTATAAAGATAGGTTAGGTTAGGTTAGGTTAGGTAGGGTTGGTTAGGTTTGGTCATATATCTACGTTAATTTTAACTTAAATAAAAAAAATTGATCTCATATATAATGAAATGGGTAGCTTTATCATTTCCTAAGAAAAAAATTAGAGAAAATATATTAACTCAGGAAAACTTGGCTTATTAGGCAAATCGGGCCTTGCATAGTAGACTGAGAAGTGCATTCTGGCTACTAGGTACGACATATATATATATATATATATATATATATATATATATATATATATATATATATATATATATATATATATATATATATGCGAACAAGCCTGAATGGTCCCCAGCACTATATGCAACTGAAAACTCACACCCCAGAAGTGACTCGAACCCATACTGCCAGGAGCACTCTGCTGGACAGTTGAGCGAGGGTCTCGCTTCATGCAGGTCGGCGTTCAATCACCCGACCGTCCAAGTGGTTGAGCACCATTCCCTTCCCCCCGTCCCATCCCAAATCCTTATCCTGACCCCTTCATAGTGCTATACAGTCGTAATGGCTTAGCGCTTTCCCCCTGATAATTCCCTCCCTCGCCCTCTTTCAAGGCGTTTTACGTGGTGTCGGGGAAGAGTTGGCGGTCATGTTGGCGGTCAAGTTGGCGGTCTAGAGTAAGTCGGCGGCTTTGTTGCTCTTGTAAATGACTATCAACACTATCTTCCGGCTGGTGTTGATAATGGGTCACATTTCAACCAATAATATCCATCAAAACATCATTTACAAGGCTCACCGGGGGGACCCGAACTCTGGCCTAACAAGTACGCTACTGTCCTCCTACCAACCACACCATGCATGCCCCACTATAGGGATCTCAGGAGTACCTAACTGGTGTGCAACCCTCTGCCGTTCAAACCAATGAGACTTTTTATTGTATAGCGTCCTATTGCTTTGAATTTTAGAAGCGGATTTGCAGGCTGCGATTACTGACGACGCCCTAGAAGTATACTACTGCTTGGCTGTACCAGAGGGTTCCCCCTTGGCTCCTGGAGCCTCTGGAACAACGCAAGTCTGGAGTTTCTGGATACCTGGAACAGGTATATAGGCGCCTGGAGTTAGGTAACTGTTGTGTGGGGTTGGTGCATGGGGGAATGATCTCGATACCAATGTAAGTATATGTAGACAGGCTTCCTGTCCCTGACGTAAGGAATTATTGTTGTTTACATAAATCTGTGGTTGATTTGGCTGTCAGTTCAGGTCTTCGGTTCTGTTCGGCTGTTCTGTCCGCTGGTTCTGTCCACTGGTTCTGGCCACTGGTTCTGGCCACTGGTTCTGTCCACTGGTTCTGTCCACTGGTTCTGTCCACTGGTTCTGGCCACTGGTTCTGTCCACTGGTTCTGGCCACTGGTTCTGTCCACTGGTTCTGTCCACTGGTTCTGGCCACTGGTTCTGTCCTCTGGTTCTGTCCACTGGTTCTGTCCACTGGTTCTGTCCACTGGTTCTGTCCACTGGTTCTGGCCACTGGTTCTGTCCTCTGGTTCTGTCCACTGGTTCTGTCCTCTGGTTCTGTCCACTGGTTCTGGCCACTGGTTCTGTTCACTGGTTCTGTCCACTGGTTCTGTCCACTGGTTCTGTCCACTGGTTCTGTCCACTGGTTCTGTCCACTGGTTCTGTCCACTGGTTCTGGCCACTGGTTCTGTCCACTGGTTCTGGCCACTGGTTCTGTCCACTGGTTCTGTCCACTGGTTCTGTCCACTGGTTCTGTCCACTGGTTCTGTCCTCTGGTTCTGTCCTCTGGTTCTGTCCACTGGTTCTGTCCTCTGGTTCTGGCCACTGGTTCTGTCCACTGGTTCTGGCCACTGGTTCTGTCCTCTGGTTCTGTCCACTGGTTCTGTCCACTGGTTCTGTCCTCTGGTTCTGTCCACTTCCATGTTGGTAACTGCTGTAGACTGTATTATTGTAGAATATTACTGTAGTCTAGTTTGTCTTACTGTAGACTGTATTGCTGTAGTGTAGACTGTATTACTGTAGTGTATACTGTATTGGTGTACTCTGTCTTGGTGTAAAACTGTAATGTGTAGACATATTCTAGTGTATAGAATGTATTACACAATTACTATACTCTCCTATTGTATTCCTGTATTACCAGACTGTCTTAATGTATAACTGGACTGTCTTAATGTATAACTGGACTGTCTTAATGTATAACTGGACTGCATTACCAGAGTTACTGTATTGCTGGAGTACAAAGGTAAGAGACTGAGGACCTCTCCATCAGGTATTGATTCCAGCTGCTCCGATGTCTACCCCCCTACCCCTTCCCCCCCTCCCATCCCTGTCTATCCCTGTCTATCCTGGAAACTGGACAGATTTTTCTTGGCTAATTCATAACAAAATCCAAAGAAAACCCCCAAGTATTGGTTATGATATTGACTCGAATCGTCGGGATTAATCGAGCGAGTGGATACATGTGAGATTAATGTGGATAAATAGTACCTTATCCAGTATTCTGGATAATTAATTCATGTAATTTAATAGTGATTTATCCAGTATTTTGAGTGATGGTGCTGAGGGAAAACTTCACCTCTATGTTTTCATAGCTGCCTTCACTCTGGCAGTGAAAGCAGTGAAGGCAGACTACGGAAATAAGCCTGAGGGGTCTCTGTGGCTGAATGAACCAGTCATATCATTATGTGTGCGTGTCTCTCTTCTCTCGTAAACTGTCGAGTGTGTGGAACAATGTGGAACAGAAAACAGTTACTTTGTCTTATCAAAAATTTTTCTATCTACATATGTGGATTAGTAGATGGATTGGTCGGTAGATCTAGGGTGCTGCCGACGCTCCCATTTTGGGTCTTGTATGCTTTTAGAAACTACTTTTTTTGTAATTAGATTCAACTTTATCTCTAGTGATCGTCTAGTTTGATAGCGTACTTGTATGTCTAAGCTGATAGCTTGGCTCTGTGTCTAACCCCATTCTATGTCTTCGTCATTAGGTTCAAAAGTTCTTTCTAACATTCCTAAGGCTCATGTGTGTCACTGTTTCCACCCCCATGTCTCCTTGGCCTATCTTGTATTCTTTATTAACATTATCGAGTCCCTTGATCATTTTTTATGTTGTTATCATGTCTCCACAATCCCATCTTTCTTCAAGTGTGGTGAGGTACAGATTCATCAGCTTTTATACAGTAGTATAATGCTCGTAGCTGTGTGTGTGTGTGTGTGTGTGTGTGTGTGTGTGTGTGTGTGTGTGTGTGTGTGTGTGTGTGTGTGTGTACTCACCTATTTGTGCTTGCGGGGGTTGAGCTCTAGCTCTTTGGTCCCGCCTCTCAACTGTCAATCAACTGGTGTACAGATTCCTGAGCCTACTGGGCTCTATCATATCTACATTTGAAACTGTGTATGGAGTCAGCCTCCACCACATCACTGTCTAATGCATTCCATCTGTTAACTACTCTGACACTGAAAAAGATCTTTCTAACGTCCCTGTGGCTCATGTGGGCACTCAGTTTCCACCCGTGTTAAACAGTTTATCCTTATCTACCCTGTCAATTCCCCGGAGGATTTTGCAGGCAGTGATCATGTCTCCCCTTACTCTTCTGTCTTCCAATGTCGTGAGGTGCATTTCCCGCAGCCTTTCCTCGTAACTCATGCCTCTTAGTTCGGGGACTAGTCTAGTGGCATATTTCTGAACTTTTTCCAGCTTCGTCTTGTGCTTGACAAGGTACGGGCTCCATGCTGGGGCCGCATACTCCATGATTGGTCTTACATATGTGGTATACAAGATTCTGAATGATTCCTTACACAGGTTCCTGAAGGCTGTTCTGATGTTAGCCAGCCTCGCATATGCCGCAGACGTTATTCATTTTATGTGGACTTCAGGAGACAGGTTTGGTGTGATATCAACTCCTAGATCTTTCTCTGTTTGATTAAGTACTTCATCTCCTATTCAGTATCCTGTGTCTGGCCTCCTGTTTCCATCGCCTAGTTTCATTACTTTGCATTTACTCGGGTTGAACTTTAACAGCCTTTTGTTGGATCATTCATTCAGTCTAGGTCATCTTGTAGCCTCCTACTATCATCCTCTGTTTTAATCCTCATAATTTTTGCATCATCAGCAAACAATGAGATGAACGAGTCTATACGCTCTGGGAGATCATTTACATATATCAGAAACAGTATAGGTCCAAGGACTGACCCCTGCGGGACTCGATCCACTGGTGACGTCTCGCCAATCTGAGACCTCACCCCTCACACTGACTCGTTGTCTCCTGTTGCTTAGGTACTCCCTTATCCAATGGAGTACCTTCCCTTTCACTCCAGCCTGCATCTCCAGCTTTTTCACTAGCCTCTTGTGTGGCACTGTATCAAAGGCTTTCTGGCAATCCAAAAATATACAGTCTGCCCACCCCTCTCTTTCTTGCCTGATCATAGAATTCATTTAATCCTGTGAGGCAGGACTTGCCATCCCTGAACCCATGTTGATGCTGTGTTACAAAGTTCTTTCGCTCCAGATGTTCCACTAGCTTTTCTCGCACAATCTTCTCCATCAGCTTGCATGGTATGCAGGTTAGGAACACTGGCCTGTAGTTCAGTGCCTCCTGTCAATCCACTTCCTTGTATATCGGGACTACATTAGCCGCTTTCCAAATTTCTGGCAGTTCCCCTGTTGCCAGTGATTTGTTATACACTATGGAGAGTGGCAGGCACAGTGCTCCTGCTCCTTCCTTTAGTATCCAAGGGAATATTCCATCTGAGCCTATTGCCTTTGTCACATTCAACTCTAGTAAACACTTCCTTACTTCCCCACTGGTAATCTCAAACTCTACTAGTGGTTTCTGGTTAACTATTCCCACTCTTATCTCTGGAATTTCTCCTTGTTCTAAAGTGAAGACCTCCTGGAATTTCTTATTCAGTTCCTCACACACTTCCTTGTCGTTTGTAGTGAATCCTTCTGCCCCTATCCTTAATTTCATAACCTGTTCCTTTACTGTTGTTTTTCTCCTGATGTGGCTGTGCAACAATTTAGGTTGAGTCTTTGCCTTGCTTGTGATGTCATTTTCGTATTGTCTTTCTGCCTCTCTTCTCATCCTGACATATTCATTCCTGGCACTCTGGTATCTTTATCTGCTCTCCAGTGTCCTGTTATTCCTATAGTTCCCTCTACGCCCTTTGCTGCTTAGCTAGCCTACATCTCCGATTAAACCATGGGTTTCCCATCTGTATTTCATTGTCTTCCTTTTACACTAGGGCAAACTTATTTGTCCCAGTCCGAAAACACACACAAGTACACACTAAAATACAAACACGTGTGTGTGTGTGTGTGTGTGTGTGTGTGTGTGTGTGTGTGTGTGTGTGTGTGTGTGATGAGTGAACAGATATTGCAGCTGTGAAATATCTGACACTTCCTCACGGCCGCCCAGCTATGACAAAAGACGCCGCCACGGTTTTGAAGAATAGTGCCCCACTTAAGGCAGCAATACTAGTCAAACCTCCCATTGTGCAAGAACATTCCTCATAGAAATGTGATTTATGCCACCTAACTCATTTATCTCTCTCTCTCTCTCTCCCTAATTGATATGCAAATTATATCACCAAATATTTGCTATCTCTGATCTTTACAAACACATATATTCTTTTGTCGTGTTCGTAATATTTTCTCCCATTCCACGACAGGCAATCTGCAGATGGAATTACGTCAATCACTTCTCTTTTTCCAGCCTATCCCAAGCGTCGGCGGCGGCGGCGGCGGTGTTGCTCTCTGTTTTCCACCAATAGCAAGTGGGAGAGACGTCAACACAAATGGCATGCTGTCATTCTTTCTTTGACTTATTATGCCAGGTCGTGTCGGACGCAAGAGGTCCTTGGTAGTGTGGTATGGTCCTTGGCGGTGTGGTATGGTCCTTGGCAGTATGGTATGGTCCTTGGCAGTGTGGTATGGTCCTTGGCAGTATGGTATGGTCCTTGGCAGTATGGTATGGTCCTTGGCAGTATGGTATGGTCCTTGGCAGTATGGTATGGTCCTTGGCAGTATGGTATGGTCCTTGGCAGCATGGTATGGTCCTTGGCAGCATGGTATGGTCCTTGGCAGTATGGTATGGTCCTTGGCAATATGGTATGGTCCTTGGCAATATGGTATGGTCCTTGGCAGTATGGTATGGTCCTTGGCAGTATGGTGTGGTCCTTGGCAGTGTGGTATGGTCCTTGGCAGTATAGTATGGTCCTTGGCAGTATGGTATGGTCCTTGGCAGTATGGTATGGTCCTTGGCAGTGTGGTATGGTCCTTGGCAGTGTGGTATGGTCCTTGGCAGTGTGGTATGGTCCTTGGCAACATGGTATGGCCCATAGCAGTCTGATATGGTTCCTGGCAACAGAGTATTGGTATATCTACCAACATGAGGTTCGTTGATGAATCGCCAAATGGTGTTTTATATTCCTGTAGACTTGGCTTCTCCCTCGACGTCACAACAGCTGGGGTGTTCGATCTCTGGGAGGACACAGTTGGCGCCTGACCTCCCCTGCATGTCATCACAGGTACCCCTCTCCTTCTCCAGTAAACTGGGATTACATGAGGGTTCCGCATATCTCCCACGCTGATTCATTGGTCTTCGCCTTACTCCCATGCACCAGTGACGTGGTAGTTTCTTCCACCAGGGCCGCACCGCTGCCGAGTACACGTTGACCAGGCCCACCTCCAATGGTCTTCAGGTAGTAATCAAACCCCAGGAACGACTCGCAGGCCGACTCTCGGCACCACCTCTTGGAACACAAGGAGTCAACCGTTGCCACAGAGCCCCTTATGAACCCCCTCTAACGGTCCGGTACTCCAGTACTTCCTCCAGAAGTTGCTCGGTGACTCCTCTACTGTATTTTTTGAGTACTCCCAATCAAGACATCCCTCCGAGCGGTTCAAACTTCACCTCGCAGGGATGGACGAGTGACGTACCCTATCACTTTGACGTCCAGCGGCGCACTGACGGTGTCCTGTTTTTCCCGCGCTGTCACTCGGGCGCTGACGTCACACCACGTCCCGCCAGGGCGCCCTCTGATTGGTCATCGCCCCCTACGTTCAGCCAATCACAGTCTCTAACACCCGGGAGACTCCGCGCCTTTACCTCAAGCAAATTTGGCGCGATTTTGCCACCTCTCAGGGGAGTCGATCCGCCATATTTGCAGTAGAAGTCCACCCTTGCAATCAAACACAAGTGGATGCGTTCCAAGTTATGGACAAGGGAGGAGTATGTCTCTTACTAGGCGGGAGAGGAATGTATCTTGCCGGTAAATGCATCATTGTGTGTGTATATTATATATATCAAAACATCTAAGAATATCCTCAATTGTAGAAAGAGTTGGCTCGTCCCCCCCTCCCCCAGTGACAAATAAATGAGTTGAAGATATATTAAAAAACTGTTATAACGAGGTGTGAGCCCTTGCAAGTTGCACAAAAATCAAAACTGCAATTTCAGCTTCAGTGCAAGAGTGTTCATTAACAAAATGGCAAAGAAAGAATTTGAATTCGTTAACAAAAAAAAAAAAAACTAAATAAATATAAATGATTGGAAATGAGGTCATTTCCAACAATACTCACATAGCTTAACGTGGCAACATTATCTGGCTTTATCTAGCAACCACTTCAGTACCGGTGCCGGAAGTGACTTTATCAGTGCCGGAAGTGACTTTATCAGTGCCGGAAGTGACTGTGTCAGTGCCGGAAGTGACTGTGTCAGTGCCGGAAGTGGTTGTGTCAGTGCCGGAAGTGACTGTGTCAGTGCCGGAAGTGACTGTGTCAGTGCCGGAAGTGACTGTGTCAGTGCCGGAAGTCACTGTGTCAGTGCCGGAAGTGACTGTGTCAGTGCCGGAAGTGACTTTGTCAGTGCCGGAAGTGACTTTGTCAGTGCCGGAAGTGACTTTGACAGTGCCGGAAGTGACTTTGTCAGTGCCGGAAGTCACTTTGTCAGTGCCAGAAGTTACTTTGTCAGTGTCGGAAGTGACTTTGTCAGTGCCGGAAGTCACTTTGTCAGTGCCGGAAGAGACTTTGTCAGTGCCGGAAGTGACTTTGTCAGTGCCGGAAGTGATTTGTCAGTGCCATAAGTGATTTTGCCAGTGCCAGAAGTGACTGTGTCAGTGCCGGAAGTAACTTTGTCAGTGCCGGAAGTGGCTTTGTCAGTGCCGGAAGTGACTTTGTCAGTGCCGGAAGTGACTTTGTCAGTGCCGGAAGTAACTTAATCAGTGCCGGAAGGGAATTTGTCAGTGCCGGAAGTAACTTAATCAGTGCCGGAAGGGAATTTGTCAGCGCCGGAAGTAACTTTGTCAGTGCTGGAAGTGAATTTGTCAGTGCCGGAAGTAACTTTGTCAGTGCCGGAAGTGAATTTCTCAGTGCCGGAAGTAACCTTTTCAGTACCGGAAGTGATTTCGTCAGTGCCGGAAGATACTTTGTCAGTGCCGAAAGTGACTGTGTCAGTGCTGGAAGTGACTGTGTCAGTGCCGGAAGTGACTTTGTCAGTGCCGGAAGTGACTTTGTCAGTGCCAGAAGTAACCTTTTCAGTGCCGGAAGTGACTTTGCCAGTGCCGGAAGTGACTTTGCCAGTGCCGGAAGTGACTGTGTCAGTGCCGGAAGTGACTTTGCCAGTGCCGGAAGTGACTTTGCCAGTGCCGGAAGTGACTGTCAGTGCCGGAAGTGACTTTGTCAGTGCCGGAAGTGACTTTGCCAGTGCCGGAAGTGACTTTGCCAGTGCCGGAAGTGACTGTGTCAGTGCCGGAAGTGACTTTGCCAGTGCCGGAAGTGACTGTCAGTGCCGGAAGTAACTTTGTCAGTGCCGGAAGTGACTGTCAGTGCCGGAAGTGACTTTGTCAGTGCCGGAAGTGACTTTGTCAGTGCCGGAAGTGACTTTGCCAGTGCCGGAAGTGACTGTCAGTGCCGGAAGTAACTTTGTCAGTGCCGGAAGTGACTGTCAGTGCCGGAAGTGACTGTCAGTGCCGGAAGTGACTGTCAGTGCCGGAAGTAACTTTGTCAGTGCCGGAAGTGACTGTCAGTGCCGGAAGTGACTTTGTCAGTGCCGGAAGTGACTTTGCCAGTGCCGGAAGTGACTTTGCCAGTGCCGGAAGTGACTTTGCCAGTGCCGGAAGTGACTTTGTCAGTGCCGGAAGTGACTTTGCCAGTGCCGGAAGTGACTTTGTCAGTGCCGGAAGTGACTTTGTCAGTGCCGGAAGTGACTTTGTCAGTGCCGGAAGTGACTTTGTCAGTGCCGGAAGTGACTTTGTCAGTGCCGGAAGTGACTTTGCCAGTGCCGGAAGTGACTTTGCCAGTGCCGGAAGTGACTTTGCCAGTGCCGGAAGTGACTTTGCCAGTGCCGGAAGTGACTTTGCCAGTGCCGGAAGTGACTTTGTCAGTGCCGGAAGTGACTTTGTCAGTGCCGGAAGTGACTTTGCCAGTGCCGGAAGTGACCATTGCATTACTGGAGTGATGGCCATACCCCCATAGATCAGTGTGACCCCACCCAGGTCCCCTGTTATCAGGGTTCGCCATAACTTGCCTCCCCCACAACACTAAAAGCCTATCCAGCCAATGAGGTTATGTGAAATTTGTAATTCTTATTTAAATTACATATATGAAAATAATAACCCAATATATTGAAAACTCGAGGAAATATATAGACTGTATATGGCGATCCCAACCTGGGATCCTCTACGCTGCTGAAGAGAATCCTGTGTTGGGATCGAAATATATAATCTATCAATATTTTCGTGTTTTCAAAATAGTGAGTTATTATTTTCTTTGATTACTGCGGGCATTGCACTTCATTCTCATATATATCATTAATGTCAATCTCCAGTTGGACTGGACGGTAGAGCGACGGTCTCGCTTCCTGCAGGTCCGAGTACAATCCCTGACTGTCCAAGTGGTTAGACACTATACCTTTCCGTCAGTTCTATCCTAACTTCCTATCCTCGGAGAGGAGTTTCCAAGTGTTCCATAGTCGTAATGAGCTTTCTTCTGGTAATTGCCTAACCGTTACCGTTATTCATTCTGGTTAACCTAACAAATCCATTAGTTACATATATCATTAAGATTTATAATTTATTTATCACGCTTTAGTTGTAACCCCATTACCCATTAGTTACTACAGGTAGCCACCACCCCATTACCCATTAGTTACTACAGGCACACACCTCCCCATTACCCATTAGTTACTACAGGCACACACCTCCCCATTACCCAATAGTTACTACAGGTAGCCACCTCCCCATTACCCATTAGTTACTACAGGTAGCCACCTCCCCATTACCCTATAGTTACTACAGGTAGCCACCTCCCCATTACCCAATAGTTACTACAGGTAGCCACCTCCCCATTACCCAATAGTTACTACAGGTAGCCACCTCCCCATTACCCATTAGTTACTACAGGTAGCCACCTCCCCATTACCCAATAGTTACTACAGGTAGCCACCTCCCCATTACCCATTAGTTACTACAGGTAGCCACCACCCCATTACCCATTAGTTACTACAGGCAGCCACCTCCCCATTACCCATTAGTTACTACAGGTAGCCACCACCCCATTACCCATTAGTTACTACAGGCAGCCACCTCCCCATTACCCAATAGTTACTACAGGTAGCCACCTCCCCATTACCCATTAGTTACTACAGGCAGCCACCACCCCATTACCCATTAGTTACTACAGGCAGCCACCTCCCCATTACCCAATAGTTACTACAGGTAGCCACCTCCCCATTACCCATTAGTTACTACAGGTAGCCACCTCCCCATTACCCAATAGTTACTACAGGTAGCCACCTCCCCATTACCCATTAGTTACTACAGGCAGCCACCTCCCCATTAGTTACTACAGGTAGCCACCTCCCCATTACCCATTAGTTAGTACAGGCAACCACCTCCCCATTACCCATTAGTTAGTACAGGCAGCCACCTCCCCATTACCCAATAGTTACTACAGGTAGCCACCTCCCCATTACCCAATAGTTACTACAGGAAGCCACCTCCCCATTACCCAATAGTTACTACAGGAAGCCACCTCCCCATTACCCAATAGTTACTACAGGCAGCCACCTCCCCATTAGTTACTACAGGCAGCCACCTCCCCATTACCCATTAGTTAGTACAGGCAACCACCTCCCCATTACCCATTAGTTAGTACAGGCAACCACCTCCCCATTACCCATTAGTTAGTACAGGCAACCACCACCCCATTACCCATTAGTTAGTACAGGCAACCACCACCCCATTACCCATTAGTTACTACAGGCAACCACCTCCCCATTACCCATTAGGTACTACAGGCACCCACCTCCCCATTACCCATTAGTTACTACAGGCAACCACCTCCCCATTACCCATTAGTTACCACAGGCACCCACCTCCCCATTACCCATTAGTTACTACAGGCACCCACCTCCCCCATTACCCATTAGTTACTACAGGCAGCCACCTCCCCATTACCCATTAGTTACCACAAGCACCCACCACCCCATTACCCATTAGTTACCACAAGCACCCACCTCCCCATTACCCATTAGTTACCACAAGCACCCACCTCCCCATTACCCATTAGGTACTACAGGCACCCACCTCCCCATTACCCATTAGGTACTACAGGCACCCACCTCCCCATTACCCATTAGGTACTACAGGCACCCACCTCCCCATTACCCATTAGTTACTACAAGAGTATTGATATTTACTAATGTAATCGCCAGTGGTTCATGGGGGGGGGGAACCACCCCACCCTGTTGACATTAATTACTTCTGAGAGATTTCTTCCTGTGTTGTAATCACATACTGACAATTATGTTTAACAATTTAATACTGGAGATATTTGGAGATTTACAAAAGGAGGTTCAACGTAATTTATGAGACGGGAGATAACAATGGAGGGGACCCAGTGACACAGAAAGATGACAATTTAACAATATTTCATTTAATCACTATTATATTCACCGCAAATTCCTACGTCACCTACACTGGCAACTTGTTAAGGCCCTTATCATACATTGGCACAATGGTAAGTAATTTAGACATGGAAAATACATAAGAGATATCACACGATATCTCTATCACACGAGATAATGAGATATCATTACCTTTGACCCGGGCCTCTCTCTCAGATGGAGACTCCTTCCTTGTCTCTCACCTCGGCCTCATGGCGCCCCTCAGACCGGTTCCAGTCACTTTCTCAGGCACTCTGAATTCTATCACCCTACACTAGGGTATATCTTATACCCCACACCGGGTGTATTTACCGAACTACCCCAGCTGGTGTAGCTAGGAGGAGGAGGTGAAGGGATTCTTGTCACCTCCCAATTCTAGACCCGAATCCCCCTATATCTTGAATACATCACACTACACATTTCATAAGGAATTTTTAATTAAAAGCTCTTTGAAAA